CAGAGCAGCACATGGCAGACATCAGCTCATCCCAGGCCCCTGTCATTGTTACACTTCATCTTCAAGGTCCACAGCAATGGCAAGTGTTTCTGTATACAAGGCTGAGCGTGTGTGTGCTCATGTCTGTCCGTGGGGGGAGGAGGAAGCTCCCTGGGACATAACTGCCTTTCCGAACCATTGCCCCAGCGCAGTGCACAGAGGCTGCTCCCAACTGCACAATGTCTCTATACCCCAGCACTCACACAGAAGCTCTGCTCAGCTAATATCTCCACAGCCAAATCACTACTCAGCCTCCAGGTAAACCAGCAACGTTTAACCCAGTGAAAAACCAAAGCAACCACCGCCCTAGCTGAAAGCAGGTGAATTTGATGTTCTTGATGGCAATAAGACCAGGGTTTAAAGGTCTGAAGATAAGCCAAGGCTGAGGGACAGGATGAAGGCAAGGGAGGGCTGGAGGACGGGGGCGGAGGACAGGGGCGGAGGGCAGAGTAATGAGATCTATTTACACAGCGGGTTGAGAGAATGTGGAATGCATTGGCTCAGAATGACTCAAGAGTCAGAGTCTATTGTATGCTTAAATGAGACATAAATAAGGGAGAGAGAGATATTGAAGGACATGAAGATATGGATTTAAAAGATCTGCATTGATCCTAATAAACCATCAGAACAGGCCTTGTGGATTAAATGGTTCCTCCTGGTGTCTGTTTATAATGCTGTACGCAATTGGCTGACGTGTTTCTCCCACAAGATACAGTCAATACACTTTACGGTATATTCTATAAAGTGCTTTGAGACAATGCATCGACATGATAAGGCGCGATATCAAATACAAGGGTTATTATTATTATTATATTTCTGGACTTTTAACCACAGACAAACCAGCGCTTTGGGACGTCCTCCCGACATGAAAAGCGCTATATCAAATGCAAGGATTATTATTATTATTATATTTCTGGACATTTAACCACAGACAAACCAGAGGACTGCACCGTGCCAGGGAGTTTGCTGCTCCTGTCATCCCGCTCCCCAGCCCCACTCTGGCTGTTACTCCAGTTTTGCCAGGATCTATTCCATTTCGAACCGAGAAACATGCAGGTTTCCAGAGTTTAATCCACTTTGTGCAACTGCTGCAGATTACAGAACCATGCCAAGATACTTGCTTAGCAACACAATCCGAATTACACCACAGCCATTCCCGCTGGGGGAGGGAGGCAACGGGCAACGTACATTTATACAAAGCCAGCAGCTTTACAGAAGGAGATCAATCAGAAATGCACTGAATGTTATGGAGATAAACACAACGCCTGACCTGCACCAGCAGTGCACAAAAACAAGACGAGCAGCTGATCATTCAAATGTTTGGGGTAAATTTGTGGAAGCAGATCTGAGCACAAACACCACTCATTGTGTTCATAGTCCAGACCCAGACACTAACACACACACCCTGCCCCCCCCCCCACCACCACACACACACCCCCCCGCCCCAGACACTCACACACACACCCCAGCCCCCCCACACCCCACCCACCACACACACCCTGCCCCCCCACCACACACACTCCCCGCCCAAGACACTCACACACACACCCTGCAGCCCCCCCCCACCACACAACCCCCCCCCCACCCCCACCACACACACACCCCACCACACACACACCCCTCCCACCCCCACCACACACACACCGCCTCCCCACCACACAACCCAAATCCCCCCACATGCACCCCCGCCACACACACTCCAACCCCCCCACCACACACACACCCCCCCCCCCACCACACACACCCCCCCCCCCCCCCCCCCCGCGCCCCCTCCACCACACATAGCCCCGCACAGCCTCTGGTCACCCCTACAAACATGTATCCAGTGAATTAGTGTTTGTTTCATAGCTCACAGCACATCACAACAAGAGGGGGAAGAGAGTGGCGGGGGATAGGGGGCGAGGCGGGGGATAGGGGGCGAGGCGGGGGATAGGGGGCGAGGCGGGGGATAGGGGGCGAGGCGGGGGATAGGGGGCGAGGCGGGGGATAGGGGCGAGGCGGGGGATAGGGGGCGAGGCGGGGGATAGGGGGCGAGGCGGGGGATAGGGGGCGAGGCGGGGAAGACTAAGGAATGTGTCTTGAGGCTGAGGTGTAGGAAGGAAAGAATGCGAAGAATGCAACCACCACCCTCCGGCGCACACGGCCCGGGTGGTTGGGGGGGGGGGGGGGGGGTGGGGAGCGCTTACCAGTAGGTGTAGTAGGCCAGTGCGAAGAGGAGGAGAGTGAGACAGATGCCAGAAAACAGCAGGATTCCAATTTGATTCAACGGCATCTTTGATATCGGAGCGTTTCCGAGTAAGGAACTCGGCTCTGGCAAAACCTGTCAAATCCGGGACGGATTAGGATGGGAATCTGGGCACAGCTCCCTGTTCAGCAAGCGGCAGGTCAGGGAGGTAGGGAGCACAGTGCCCGGGCCCGGGCCGCTCACACACCCCCCCGCGATTATCTGGGATAAGTGTCCCGCTGGAGGGGAGCGGACATTCCGGACGGTCTCACTCGAAGGCTGCAGGAATGTCCCATCCGCTGCTGTGTGTTCACTAATCTTTTAAACAGCTTATCATAAACCACAGGCAGCTCACTGCAGCTCTCCCTGATCCTGCCTCCCCGAACCCACCCCGCAGCCCCCTCCCTCACCCCGCAGCCCCCTCCCTCACCCCGCAGCCCCCTCCCTCACCCCGCAGCCCCCTCCCTCACCCCGCAGCCCACCCCCTCACCCCGCAGCCCACCCCCTCACCCCGCAGCCCACCCCCTCACCCCGCAGCCACCCCCTCACCCCGCAGCCCACCCCTCACCCCGCAGCCCACCCCCTCACCCCGCAGCCCCCCCCCCCCACCCCCTCACCCCGCAGCCCACCCCCTCACCCCGCAGCCCACCCCCTCACCCCGCAGCCCACCCCCTCACCCCGCAGCCCACCCCTCACCCCTTCTCTCACCCCGCATCCCACTTCCTCACCCCTCAGCCAACCCCCTCACCTCGCAGGCAACTCACTGCCCCCCCTGCCCTCACCCCACCCAGGCACCTCACTGCCCGCCCTCCTGCCCTCACACAGCACTAGCTCAACCCTGCCCGGGGATCCCCCACACCTTCAAGTTGGCTCTCCTCCACAATGGGCATCTGTGTCACCCGACACTTACATCAAACACCACACACATTTCCGAGCAGGGCGAAACCTTAGGCAACTTTCCTTACTCACCAAGCCTCTGTTTACCTAACAGTAAGTAGGAACCCGGTTGTTAATCGATTGGCAGATCGCTTTTCTGGGTTTAATAATCCCTTGAAGAAATAAATCATTTGGTCACTCACTCCGCATAATTGGCTGCCACGTTTCGCCCACGAAATATACCGTGAATTCAGTATATTCTGTGAAGTGGTTTGAGAAGTCGCCGCTCAGCCGGCTCTGTCCTGCTCCACGTCCCCCGACCCACCCGCCCCACCATTGGCGGAGGAGCCTTCAGCCACTCTGCCCCCAACCTCTGGAACTCCATCTCCCAATCACTCCGCCTCGCCCCCTCCTTAGCCTCCTTCAAAACCCTCCTCTTCGACCGTGCCATTGGTCACCCCCCACCCTCTCCCCTCTGACCCCAGCTCGGGTCTGAAATGCTCGACACTGTCCAGCGCCGTGGGACGTCCTCCGGACGTGAAAGGCGCTGTAAAAAATGTAATCTTGTTGTTGCTGTCTCGATTATACGATAAAGTGCTATATCAAATGCAAGGATTATTATCACACACCACAAACATCCCCACAAACACACACCCCCTTACACAAACACACCCACCCAGACCCCAAACACTCAAGACATCACAACCCCACACACACACACGGCACCTGCCACCACCCCAAACCCACCCTCACCCCCTCCCATATACACACCCAAACAAACAGATCGCCCACCACCCCCACCCCAGCAAACACACACATATACAGGTGTGCACAGCTCACACAAAGCAGTGCGTGTCAAGACTTACCTGCACTTCTGCAAATTATGCACAAGCTTTCTGGTCAGCCAGCACCCTCACATACCTCAGCAGGTTATAAATCATTTACACACAACTCTCTCCCACAGAGCCACACCCACATGGCCACACACGCTCACTACCTCACCCATACGGTTACACCTCCAACCTCAAACACACAGGCATGCACACACACGCTGTCTGATCCACACATACGCTATCTCATGCATACGATACTGCGTTCTGCTCGAGAACGTTAAACATCCCGTAGCACGGTTTGAGAAGAGAAGGTGTCCGAGCCAAACAAAACTGCTCACTCACTTTGTGACACGATGCTGTATGCAAATTTGCTGCCACATTCGCCTACAAAATACAGTCACTATATTTGACAGTAAATCCCCTGACATAAAAGGCACTGAATCAAAAATGTAAAGATCATTACTAAACAAACGTGAATCCAGTTAAGTGCTACAGGTGTATACACCTCTGATCCTGTGCACACCCTCTGGGGGGGGGTGTGGGGAAACTGAGGGCAACTGTAGCTGCTCGGGGGTGAAATCAGCAAAGTCAGCACAGAACTGGATTAAACCTGCAATCTTCTGGTCTGCATGGTTTAGCTGCTGACCGACCGGATGAACTGGTCAAGCCAGTCAGGCCGACACAACAAGGATAGCTGACAGCACGTTTCGGTGCAGCTTCTAGCAACAGAAAGATCCTCCCTCCGCCCCACACAAACTTTCCCCCTTTTCCCAACAAAGCCTCCTCTTCTCCCCACATCTTTGCCAGCTGCTTCACATTTGCACTGATATGTTCTTTTCAACTGGCCACCAACCTCAGCAACTCCCCCCCCAAACCTTCGCCCAACTTCTGCTCACCTCACACAGGCCTGCCGCATGCCCCATCCCCTCCCAGTCACCATCAGCAGCCAAGCCTTCAGTCACTGCTCCCAATCTCCAGGAGCCTCGATCCCTCCACCTCGCCCCTTCGCTGCCTATCTTTCAACCTACCTCTTCAGCCTATGGTCACTGCCCATACCGCCTTCTCCCTCAGCATCGGATCCCGCCACTGTGAAGCCCTCCTAGACGTTATCCTACATGAAAGGCACTATATCAATACAAGTAATTGATGTTGATATACTTTTCCCCACACCCACCTGACACACCCCATACACCCACCGGGAGACCTGGTACACAATGAGGAGTAGTTCAGAAGACTGTAGATGGGTGGGTTCCCCTGCTGGATGAATTCCTCATCAGCTACAACCTCACATCATGGGAGCCGGGCAGAGACTGACTGAACCCAACAGCCAGATGTCAACAGCCAATGTCTAACCCATGCAGAAACCTATCACTGTGCTTAAGAGTCTCCAAACCAGATTGAGTTCCATATATGGATGTTACTTACACGTAGAATCTTTCTCTGCGTCTGGAATGGAATGCACATTCGTGCCCTGGAGGTACAGATCCTGCTTTACCCAATTCTGGAGAGTGTTGGCTACCATTGATGGGTGCCATCAGTGTGCCATTGATATTGCTGCCTGGCAAGCTTCCCACTGTTTATCCAGCTAGGACCACCCTCATGGTTAGGGCTTTGGATTGTGAGGATAACAGGAGTTGAGTAGGAAGAGTCCCCGCCTCCAGTGACTGGTCTGCCATTAGCAGTGGCCTGGAGCACTGTGGCCCCACTTGGCTCAGGAACTGGACTAAGGAGTCCACTATAAAAAATTGTGGAGTAGTGCGTATTGGTTAGAGCACTCGCCTTGCAAGCAAGCGGATCTGGGTTTGTCTCCCACGCAGGGCAAAATGTTAGGTAAGTTTCCTGTTTACCCAGCAGTATTTTGTTTAAAAAGAATAATTTTGGTCATTCAATCCACGACTGTTTGTGGAACACTGCTGTGCGCAAGTGGCTGCCGCGTTTCACCCACAACATATTCACTTTATAGTATATTCTGTGAAGCGCTTTGAGACATCTCGAAGACGTGATATGGTGCTATATCAAATGCAAGGATTATTACAGATATTCGGCTTGATCCTGATGTTCATTGCCAAGCACGGCTCGTTCAGCTTCAAGGAGATCCTGCTTACCTTCCCTCATTTGATAACCGACAAAGTAACCTATTCCATTGACTCACTCCGATCTATATATATGGTTATAAATTTTTTTTTTTTTTTTTTTTACAGGGTATGGGGGAGGGATGGGGTTACCTGATCCATGAAATAAACGGCCTCCATGGGAACCTTTGTGACAACAAGCGAGTCACAGGCCGCTATGTGCATCCAGTCAGAAGTCAACCGGTCCTGATCGACTAAACCAGCAGCGACGATCAGTAACTAAGGGAGGTTTGGAGAAAACAACAACTTACATTTATGTAATTCCTTCACGCGGGGTAGAGTCCCGAAGCGCTTGACAGTGACAGAATCTGACAACAACCCAGGGGGAGAGGGAGGTGACCCTAAGCACGATCAAAAAGGAAGGTTTTTAGGCAGGATTTGAAAGTGGGGAGGGAGAGGCAAGGCGGAGGGATTGAGGGAGAGAGTTCCAGAGCGTAGTGCCTGAAGGCATGGTCACCAATGGTGGAGCGGAGGGGACGGCAAACAAGAGGCCGGAGCCAGCCGAGCAAAGGCAGCGGGTGGTGGAGTGGGAGGTAAGCAGATTGGATAGGTGCCAGGACATGAAGGGATTTGAAAACAAGAGAGAAGATCTTAAAATCGATCTGTTCAGTAATTGGTAGCCAGTGGAGCCTAGCAAGGACTCGTGTGATGGGGCTGTGGAGTTTTTTTTTTTTGCAGATGAGTATCCGGTCATCGGAGTTTTGAATTAATTGAATTTTGTGTATTGTGGAGCTGGGGAGACCAGCAAGGAGTGCATTGGAATAGTCCAGCCAAGAAATGCCGAAGGTGTGGATGAGGGTTTCAGCTGCATCGGTTATGAGGTACGGATGGAGGCGGGCAATGTGCCGAGGTGGAAATAAACGGTGTTGGGTCAGGGAACGGATATGGGTTAAAAAGGAAAGCTGGGGATCGAACCTGACTCATAAGTTGCGCACAGATTCAGAGAGCCCGAGAAGCTTGACTTCAGATCCGCAGGAGAGAAGACATTGACGGGAGCCATTGAGTTTGGCTTCTGCATTGCCAACGTTCAGCTGCAGGAACTTTGCGCTCATCCAGGCCTTGATGTCCGTCAAACAAGCTGACAGTCCATGAGCAGACTGGGAGTCGCAACTGGAGGAGATGTAGATTTGGGTGTCATCTGCATACACGTAGAAGCTAACCCCGCGTTTGCGGATGACATCGCCGAGAGGGAGCATGTAGATGAGGAAAAGAAGGGGGCCAAGGATGAAGCCTTGGGATGCTTCGCATGTGACCAGGCGGGGACGGGAGGAAAAAACATTTGCCGAAATGTATCATTGGCAGTTTCTTAAGTAGGACTCAAACCATGCGAGAGTGCGGTCCCACTAAGGTGGATGGAGGAGGAGAGGGGAGGAGGAGGAGGATAGCCTGATCGAACGCGGCGGAGAGGTCCAGGAGAACGAGGCGGCAGAGGGAGCCCTGGTCGCAGAGAGAGAGAACGTCATTTGTTACTTTGACGAGCACTGTCCCTGTGCTGTGAGCAGGGCGAAAACCGGCCTGGAGGGGGTTCAAGTAAGGAGCTGATTTGCAACGACACAATCCAAAGTTTTGGCCAGGAAGGGCAGGTTTGAGATGGGTCCGAAGTTTATGAGGTTGGAGGGATCAAGAGTAAGTTTTTTTTTTAAAATGAGAGGAGTGATGACAACGCTTTTAAGGGGGAATGGAACAGAGACTGAGGAGAGGGACTGGTTGATTTTGTCAGCCAGCAGTGGGCAGAGGAGGGGGAGTTTGGTGACCAAAAGCTGGATGGGGTGGTGTGTGGGGGGGGGGGGGGGGGTCGAGGCAGCGGGTGGTGGGCTTCATCTGGGGGAAAGGGAGGAGGGAGAGATGGGGTCAAAGGAATGTAGGGTGGGGGCCGTGGTAGGAGAGGGCAATGAAGGAGGCGTGGGGTGGGGTGGGGGGGTGGAGGAGGAGGAGGAGGAGGCAGCCAGGTGGATGGTATCTCTCTGAGAGATAAGGAAATCCAGGGCCGCATGGGTGCGAACATTACAGACCGCAGTTGAGCAGATTTGCCATTATAATAGCACTGCGATCAAGATTAAAGATTCCTTCACCAGGCACAGCTCCCAGCCACTCAGACAAGGCGGTCACGGGTCTGAGCTGGGCCGAGTCACTGATCCCAGCAGTCAGAGCAACAACTGCCTCAACTCCCTTTGGCTAAGTCGGCAGAAATTGGATCCGAAACTGCAATGAGCAATCCCTCCGAGCGAGTAACACCCACACCTGCACCAACAATCCCTCAGCCATCAAGTTGGTGGCAAACACCCCATTTGCAACGCCAGCGCTCATCCTATCAAAACACCGAGCGAGTGACATCCTGTAGTCCCACACGTTGAGTGAGTGACATACTGTAGTCACACACACACACACACACACCTCCAACACCAAGAAAATTACATTTGTATCGCGGCTTTCCCGTCGGGAGGACGCCCCAAGACGCTGGACAGTCGGTATTTCGGACCCGAGCTGGGGGTCGGGATTGGGGAGGGTGGAGGGCAGTGGGGGGGAAGCAGGGTGATCGAAGATGGGTCTTGAAGGAGGCAAGGGAGGGGGCAAGGCTGAGGGACTGCGAGATGGAGTTCCAGAGGGTGGGGGCAGAGTGGCAGAAGGCAAGTGACATACTGAGCAAGTGACATACTGTCTCTCACACACACACACACAGAGCGAGTGACATACTGTAGTCACACACACACACTGAGCGAGTGACATACTGTAGTCACACACACACTGAGCGAGTGACATACTGTAGTCACACACACACTGAGCGAGTGACATACCGTAATCACACACACACTGAGTGAGTGACATACTGTAGTCACACACTGAGTGAGTGACATACTGTAGTCACACACACACACTGAGCGAGTGACATACTGTAGTCACACACACACTGAGTGAGTGACATACCGTAATCACACACACACTGAGTGAGTGACATACTGTAGTCACACACTGAGTGAGTGACATACTGCAGTCACACACACACTGAGCGAGTGACATACTGTAGTCACACACTGAGTGAGTGACATACTGTAGTCACACACACACACTGAGCGAGTGACATACTGTAGTCACACACACACTGAGTGAGTGACATACCGTAATCACACACACTGAGTGAGTGACATACTGTAGTCACACACTGAGTGAGTGACATACTGCAGTCACACACACACTGAGCGAGTGACATACTGTAGTCACACACTGAGTGAGTGACATACTGTAGTCACACACTGAGTGAGTGACATACTGTAGTCACACACTGAGTGAGTGACATACTGCAGTCACACACACACTGAGCGAGTGACATACTGTAGTCACACACTGAGTGAGTGATATACTGTAGTCACACACTGAGTGAGTGATATACTGTAGTCACACACTGAGTGAGTGACATACTGTAGTCACACACACACACTGAGCGAGTGACATACTGTAATCACACACAGAGGGAGTGACATACTGTAGTCACACACACACTGAGCGAGTGACATACTGTAGTTACACACACACTGAGCGAGTGACATACTGTAGTCACACACACACTGAGCGAGTGACATACTGCAGTCACACACACACTGAGCGAGTGACATACTGTAGTCACACACACACACTGAAGCCGCCTTTCACTTCAATAGGCTTCCCAAGGCGCTGGACCATGCAGGATTTGCACCTGAGTTGGGGGCCGAGGGTTGTGGGCAACAAGGGTGGAAAAGAGGGCTGAAGGAGGACAGTCTTGAGATGGATCTTGAAGAAGGTGTGCAGCAAAGGGGAGTCCCAGAGAGTTGGGGCAGATACCCGACGGCTGACGGTGGGGTAGAGGACATGAAACAGGCTGTGGCCTGCTGAGCAGAGGTTGGTAGAATCTGAGGAGGTCGCAGAGGTAGGGGTGGGGTCAAAACCATGGAGGGAGTTAAAGGTTAGGACGAGGATCTTAAACTCAATCCTCTGGGACATGATGAGCCAGTGGAGCCAAGCAAGCATGGAGGCAATAAGCTCGTAGAGCCTAGTGTGGAAGAGAATACGAGCTGTAGAGCTCTGGATGGCCCGCGGCTTGTGGAGGGAAGAGGCGGGTAGTCCTGTGAGCAGAGTTGGTGTCATGGATGTCATAAAAGCTTGAACAAGGCTCTCTGGAATCCGAGAAAGGTAGTGGCAGAGCCGAGCAATGTTACAGAGGCGCGGGAAACTGAGCGGATCAGGGAACAAACATGAGGCTTAAAGGACAGTTGAATGTCAAACAAGACATGAGTTTCCACACAATCCCCACAATGGGATTCAAGTAGTTTGATGCACTCTGTGCTTGTAGTGGGAGGTGCTGACAGGAGCCTAGCAGGAAAGCCTGTGTCTTGTCAACATTCATCTGGAGAAAGTTAGAGGGCTTGATGTCTGACAGCCAGTGGTTCTGGACTAGAGGCAGAGTGCAGGCAGATTAAGAGTCGGGTGTCACATTGCTAGTCACCCACACACTGAGCCACATTTCTGCAGCTACCATTTTTTCAACGTGAGCCACATTAACGATAATCCTTCCACTTGATATGGAGCTTTATCAAGTCGTTGAAGTATTTTGTGGGTGAAACACGGGGAGGCAGTTGCACGTAACAATATTCCAGAAACAACCATGAAATGAATGACCAATTTTATTTGTTCGGTGGAGGGGGGCGGGGGGGGGGGGGTGGCCAGGACACATCTAACAAATAAAAGGTCAGGCAGCATCGATGGTGAAAGGAAAGTGAGTCAATTTGATTCACTTTCCTTTCTCCATAGATGCTGCCTGACCGGCTGAGCGTTCCCGGCGACTTCAGTTTTTGTTTCAGATTTCCAGCATCTGCAGTATTTTGCGTTTTGTCTAATTAAATAGATTTCTATTAGAAAATAATATCTTGGGATACAATATACAGTTTGGGACATGATATGTCAAGCGACGGCTAGGATGGTGGAAATTGAGCTGGATGGACCTTGGCCTTCTTTTGCCAAGCAAATTCTTATGACACCAGGAGAACTCCCTTCTCTTTTCGAACAGCACCATGGGATCTTTAACGCCCACACAGGTAGAGGGAGAACAGGCAGACAGGACCTCGGTTTAATGTCTCATCTGAAGGACATTTAGTGTGGATGCATTTTTGACTGAAAGTATCATAGCCAAGCTCCGATCCTGTCCACTTTGTATGTCCACGCACACCTAACTTCCGGGAGAGGCCAGTGAATAGATGTCAGGAGCAAACTCTGGCTGAGTTTCCTCTCCCAAGTCCCTGGGGTTCAGGCCACTCATGTCAGCTCTACCGAACACAGCTCATGAATGTGCACTAACAGCAATTTTCTG